GGAATGCCAACTGTACCTTGTCATACATCCACAGATGCATCTCAAGCAGGTCCAAGGAGGTGATCCTCCCCCTCTATGCGGCACTGGTCAGGCCGCAGCTGGAGTACTGCATCCAGTTCTGGACGCTGCACTTCAGGAGGGATGTGGACAACATGGAGAGGGTCCAGAGGAGGGCCACCTGCATGATCAGGGGTCAGCAGGGCAGGCCCTACGAGGAGAGGCTACGGGACCTGAACCTGTTCAGCCTCAAGAGAAGGCTGAGGGGGAATCTAGTGGCCATTTACAAACTAGTCAGAGGGGACCAGCAGGCACTGGGGGAGTCTCTGTTCCCCCGAGCACCACCAGGAGTGACTAGAAATAATGGTCACAAGCTGGCAGCGGGTAGATTCAGGCTAGATATCAGGAGGCACTATTTCACTGTCAGGGCGGCTAGGATCTGGAACCAACTTCTGAGAAAAGTGGTGGTGACTCCTACCCTGGGGGTCTTTAAGAGGAGGCTGGATGTACACCTTGCCGGGGTCATTTGACCCCAGTGCTCTTTCCTGCCATGTCAGGGGGTTGGACTTGATGATCTGTACAGGTCCCTTCTGACCCTACCAACTATGAAACTATGAAACCTTAGTTCTTTTAGCCTTTCCTCATATGTCATGTCATTCAGGCCTCTAAACATTTTAAGTGCTCTCCACCAGATGCTTTCCAATCTGTCCACATCTTAAAGTATGAGGCCCAAAACTAAACACAGTACTCTAGATGAGACCTTGCCAGTGTAGAACAGAGTAGAAGAATCACTTCTTTTGATTTGCAAGCAGGACTCCTGTTACAACCCAATATGCTGCTGGCTGTTTTTGCAAGCAAAACACTTCCTTCCTTTTTCATGCCTCCTTGTGACAAAGAATTTAGCAGAATTCACGAATTGGTTGGTATCTGACAGGGCTGCACCGTGAGCACTTCTGTTGCGGCCTCAAACTTGCAAGCTCTGGCCTGTCAACTGTGCACCTGAGTGAGCGTGTCACCTCAGCCCCACCAGAACTATTGGCTCATAATCAGCTTATGGTCCCTTGTAGTCCCCAGGTCCTTTTCTTCAGTACTGGCTAGTCAGACCCCGGTCTGTATACGTGCATGTAAATATTCCATCCCAAGTGCAGGACTTTACATGTGGTTATGCCAAATTTCACCTGACTGATTTTGGACCATTTCTTCAGCTTTCCTTCCCCAAACCTCAAGACTGTAACTCCATTCAACAGAATTGCTAAACATGCACTCAGTCTCCTCACCCAAATCCACTAATGAAGATCTTAAAAAACACTGAATTTAGGAAAGACCCCTGGGAAACCCCTCCTGAAGCCTCTTCCCAATTAAACATTAAGCCATTGATGACTACCTATTGGGCGTGAGAAATATACTGCACAGTTGATTAATTAACTATGCAGTAAGTGTCTCACTGCACAGTAAACATCTTGACATCTACACATGCGCCACTATTAGGGCGTACAAAATTAGTAAACTCTGTAGCATGGTAGTACTTGTAAAATACTGCTGCAGGTTTTTTTTCATGTGCAACAGGCTTGGTTTAGATACTACTTCGGCTGGCCGAGACACAAGGGTACTTTAGCCTAGGGAATGACTCCTGGCTAGCCCCGCGCTGAAGCACCCTCTTGCCTCAGCCAGCCCCTCTGCAGCATGTGGAGCCCAGTCAATGCCCTGCCAGCTGCTCTGAATGGCCTCTATGTGTTATGCACAATTAACAGATTGTGCATTAATTAACAGCAATTAGCTCTGGAGTTTATTTGTGTGCATTACTTGCATGTGGGGACATGCCCATTGAAAATGATGATTCGACCAGTTTTGTATCCACCTTAAAATACTTTCTCCTAGTATTTCCTTAGCCTGTTAATGAGAATGTCATGGGATACAGTGTAAAAAGCCTTGCTAAACTCAAGGTGTATTACATGCACAGCTCTCCCCTATCCATAGAACCTGTCACCTTATCACAGAAGGAAATCAGTTGGTCAGGCATGACTTCCTCCTGGTGACTGCATGGTGACTGTTCCAGATCACTTTGTTCTTCTCTAGGTGCTTTAGAATAGATTCTCTGAGGACCTGCTTCATGATCTTTCCTGGTATCAAGGTCAGACTGACTGGTCTGTAATTCCCCAGATCCTCCTCTTTTCCTGTCTTAAAGATGGGCACTATACCCTTCTTGTCATTATTCTGCTCTTCTCCTTCCTTTCTCCCCATAGGATCTTGATCTCTGTCACTTTATGATCACTATCACCCAATCTGGCTTCCACTTTCATGTTCTCAACTAATTCCTTTCTGTTTGTGAGCTGCAAGTTGAAAACAGCTTCCCCTCTACTTGACCTTTCCACCACCTCTATCCAAGAGTTATCCCCAGCACACTCCAAGAATTTGCTGGTCTGCCTGTGCACTGCTGTGTTTCCCTCCCAGTACATGTCACAATAATTGAAATCACCCATGAGAACCAGATCCTATTACTTGTTTAAAAAAAGGCCTTGTACACCTCTTCTTCCTGGTTTGGTAGCCTATGCAGAGGCCAAGTGGCATCCACCCTTCTGTTATTTCATCCAATCTTTACCCAGAGGCTTTCCACAGGCCTACTTTCTACTTTGTAACGTGCCTCACAACATGCATACACCTCCTCTATGTATAGTTTTGGCCAACTTGGCCAAAAAACGTTCCATACAAAAAATGTTTTTTAAAGCTTTTGTAATACCTAATGAAAACATTCCCTTGTTTTACATGTCCAATTTAAATTGTATTGAAAGTGTATGGGTTGTAAGCAGCAGAGTCACGTTGAAAAATTAAGGTTAATTACCTCAAAGTACAGTTCTTCCAGATAGACTCGACATATCGACACTCATAGAACGAACATTCTTGTCAGGCACCAGGGCCTTCCCTTTACAGTGCCACTGCTTTCTGTCAAAATAGTTCCTAAAACATTCCAAGGGCAAAACTCCACAAGCACAACCTACTTGTGCTACCTCAGCCCCTTCTATGACTTAGTAAAGATTTTATCTGGATTTCTTACAGATGATGATGGGAAGAAAAGGTGAACATGCAAGGCATGTCTCCATGAGTGGGAACATGTGCTTCTCAGGGACAAAAAGTAGTGGCACAGTATGTGCTGCTGCTGCTTGTCCCTGGGAAACATCTGTGTGCGCACACTCTGGCGTGGGGCACACTGCTCAGGGTGGG